ATCATGAACATATCTATAGACATCACATATTCGTTTCTCAGTAATCATCCCTGCGGTTGTTACATTCAACGCCCTCATTATAGCTATCGCTGCCTCATTTCCCTCCTCGAGGTCTTTGTCGCTTTCATTTCCCTCTTGGTGAATCTTCTTTGTTTAACCCAAGCGATGGGTTCGTGAAACTCTTTGTTTCGTGAATATACTTATATCAATGCACCTTTATCCTTCAATCCTGGACGGTGTTCCTACTCCGTCAACCGAACAAACCAGGGAATGTTCAACATCTTCTTTCACGATTTTTTCAATCTTTCAATCTCTCTCCTTCGTCGAACCTTTCTCATACTAACTCCCGCCTTCTCTGAACAGACCGAAGGTGTTGGCACAGTCCGTTCGCATGCCACTGCTCCTGCGCTACCCGAGGATAACTCGAACTATATCGATTTGTCTAATCTCGACGACACCAACGAGTTTCCCAACGGATACCAGAACGGGTATCAGGCTGGATACCCATACGAAGATGACGGTGGTCTGAGCAGTAGCGAGGAAGACGAAGTCGATGGGGTCGGCGACGCAAATGGGGTGCCGTCAGGAGATGGGTATGTAGTCAGAGACGCGCAATACGAGAATGAGAGTGAAGCGGAAGAAGATAGATCCGAATCGGATTCTTCTTCGTTTTACTCAAACTCTGACGCGGAAATTTCTGAAGAAGACGAAGAAGGTTCCCAATCGGAAACATCAGAGTCTGAAGGCGACGCTGAGGAGTTTGAAGGAGACGATGTTCGAACTCCTACGCTCACTCCCATCATCACAAGTGAACCGAGTCCAATGACGACGCCCACCGCATCTAATACAGGTGCTTATGCTTCTCGCACATCTCGTACTCCGGAACCGCCTATGTCATTCTCTGCGTTGTATACTCCACCTCCTGCATCTGCTCCAGCAGTCTCGCAATCAGAGTCATTTCAGCTGAGTTCCTCTCTTCCCGTGGAAGAACATCCACGAAGTGCAGCGCCTAGTCAAGCCCAGCCCAACTTGCGTAATCCGCCTCCCCCTGCGCTCAATCTCACACTCGCGTCCCCGGACGGTACACAAGACAAATCCGAGTCAGTCACTCCTATTACTGGTAGTGCTCACCCTTTGGCTTCCGCCGCTACATCTGCCCGCTCCCCTGTCAGCAAGTTCCGCCTCTCTCCAATAAGGGCAGCGACTTTCTCTGGGAATCACGGTGTTCGTACGGGAACCGAACCTGCCTCCTCGGCTCAAGGCTCAGCTCCTAGTACCCCAAAAAGTGCTGGATTATCAAGTATGCTCCCTCGGATTCCAAAACCTAAATTTCCTAGCCGCAGGAGCACAAGTGCGAACATAACTTCACCCCCACCATCCCAAGTTCCTGTGTATGATTTGACTGAAGATGTTCCTCGTTTACCTTCATCTCCTGCCTCTACTTCCGGGGCGGTCTCAACCTCTAACGGTAACGACTATGCAAATGGGCACATCACAGATCCCGGTGAGTCGGAACAGAAGTCAGATAAGAAGTCGCGATTTAGGAAGAGTTGGAGCGGGGTCCGTGTGCCGACCCGTCCACGACGTTCGTCGATGGACTCACCTGTTTCTTCCGATTCGATTCCGCCTTTATCTGGTGTTACGATATCACCTGGTTCAACATCCCCTTCTCAGTATGGAAGTGAGGCGGTTGAGCCGACAGTTAACCAGGACGCGGCTACACAGGCTGCGATGGGGAAGAAGATGAAGAAACCTGGACAGGTCACTAAGGAAAAGGAGAAGAAAGAGAAGAAAAAGAAGAAAAAGAAGGAGTCAACTAAAGTCAAAAAAGAAAAGGCTGCTAGTGCTGGTGAGAAGACTAAGGTCAGGTCTTCCAAGAGGAAAGGTGAAGGGAAACAACGGAGGAAACGCCCGTCATATAGTTTCGGTGGCGGAGAGAGCAATGATATTGTCGGGATTGTGATGTTGGAAATTCAGAAAGCAGAGGATTTGCCTAAGCTGAAGAATAGTAAGTTGACCGATCCAATCACGCGCTTTGAACTCTCGGTCGTGACCTACACTCTAATCTCTGCTGACTTTTTGCCTATCCCTTCGTAGTGACACGAACCGGTTGGGACATGGATCCATTCGTTGTCATTTCTTTCGGCAAAAAAGTGTTCCGCACCCGTGTCATTCGCCACTCCCTTAACCCTTCTTTTGATGAGAAACTGCTCTTTCACGTTCGGCGTTACGAGACGAACTTTAAGGTACGCTACTCGTCTGCTTCACTTTTCTTTCTAATATACCATCAGGTACATCTCACAATCTTGGATTGGGACAAACTTTCATCTAACGACTACATCGGTGAATGCGATTTTGATGTGAGTGAATTGATAGCAGCGTTTGAGGGTGGCCGAGGCGTAGATCCAGAAACAGGATTGTATCCACTGGAGGATGGAAAAGGAGACAGTGCAAGTGGGATGAAAGACTTCAAACTTCCGTTGAGAACAGCAAAGGAGATGCCTTGGGAAGCCAAGCATCGTCCGTTCATCTCGTTAAGGTACAACGAGAATCATTGTCATTGATACTCACTCACTGACATTGATCTTTCTCACAGGGGCAAATACCAACCCTATGCTGCGCTTCGACAACGCTTCTGGCTCCAATATCTCGAGCAGTATGACACTGACGATACTGGCATGCTCTCCCACCTTGAACTTACTTCCATGCTTGACTCCTTAGGGTCGACTTTGACTAACGCTACCATCAAATCGTTTTTCACTCGATTCAACAAAGATCCATACCAAGGGGAACTTACAATGGCCGAGACCATACAGTGTCTTGAAACAGAGTTAGGCCGACCTGAAAGCCAGAAGAAAAGACTCGGAGGTGCTGAGGACGCAGGATACGAAAGCTCTGTTAGCGCTACGCCGGTCATGATGCTCGCCGATAGAAGAGGTCAAGAGCTTTCCCTCAATAAGCTAGACTTTTCGGGCCCGCCATTGAGCGCGATGATCAGCCCCGGACTACCGGATGCAGAATTTTTGGAGCCAAACAGGGTACCAGCTCCAATGGCATACGCTAAGGACACTGGTGCTCAACAGCCCTTAGAGCGAGCTGCTGCAGGGAGAGAACGTACAGAAACGACTACAAGCTCTAGTTCAGCGACCACCCCTTCCGGCGAGTATGATGCATACTATGGTAGTAGCTCATACTCGTCCGATATGGAAGGATTAATGGACTATCCCAAGAATGATAGTAACGGAACAGGAGCCCCATCTCGTCCCGTTGCTTCATCCTCGCCAACTCCCCCATTAAGCACAACAGCTCAACTTTCGAGTAACTCTGTCACGTTCGCCTTCGCCCCTCCCCCTCCTTCATCGATTTCTTTCTCCCATTCCCAGTCAAGCTCTGTCAATAACAACATCCCTTCCACTCCTTCCGCAGCCACAAACCCGAGTCTTGAGTCCCCCGTTGAACGTGTGATCAATGTAAAAACTTGTCCGCTCTGTCATCGCCCCCGATTGAACGCGAAAGCTGAAGTGGACATTGTTACACATCTTGCTATCTGTGCCTCGCAGGATTGGAATAAGGTTGATCGAATCATGGTGGGTAACTTTGTCACGGCTAGTCAAGCGCAGAGGAAGTGGTATACAAGGATCCTTGGAAAAATGAGTAGCGGGAATTACAGACTGGGTGCAGTAAGTGCTTCATTCTCATATGTGCTCTCACTTACAGATGTAACAACGTGTAGAACTCGGCCAACATCATCGTGCAAAACCGATTGACTGGTCAGTTAGAAGAGGAAAAGATGCAGGTATACGTGAGGCTGGGAATTCGTCTACTCTACAAGGTAAATGGCTGTTGATTTTCGAGATCAAATAACTTCTGATTTCCTCGCGGTCCAAAGGGAATGAAATCTCGCATGGAAGGTTCTCGTGCCCGAAGTCTCCTCAAATCACTTTCGATTAAACAGGGTGTGAAATACGATTCTCCGGAAAGTGTTCGGGACATTCCGCCATTCATTGAGTTCCACAAACTCGATATGAATGAAGTGAGGGACCCGGTGAAGAGCTTCAAGACTTTCAATCAATTCTTTTATAGGTGGGTTTTGTTTATTTCAGACTTTGTCATCCAACTTATCCACTTCAGAAAACTCAAACCAGACGCTCGCCCTGTTGATTCACCCTTAGACCCTTACCGCCTAGTCTCTGCCGCGGACTGCCGATTCATGGCGTTCGAGTCTGTGAGCGAGGCAACCAAGCTTTGGATCAAAGGGAGAGAGTTTAGTGTTGGAAGACTCTTAGGGAATGCCTACAAAGTGAGATATCAATATATCTCCTCATGTTATGGACTCATTGTTCTTGATTCAGGCTGAAGCAGAACGCTATAATGGCGGCGCGTTGGCGATCTTCAGACTTGCGCCGCAAGATTATCATCGTTTTCATTCGCCTGTGGATGGGAAGATAGGCAAAATGACGTATATTGCTGGAGAGTATTATACTGTCAACGTACGTATGACTTTTGATTAATAGAAGCTAATCTACCAACTGATAATCTCTATCCAGCCTCAAGCCATCCGCACCGCTCTGGATGTGTACGGCGAGAACGCTAGGAAGATAGTGCCTATTGACTCGCCGCAATTTGGGCGTGTAATGGCGGTTTGTGTAGGTGCAATGATGGTCGGGACAATACAAACGACGGTCGAAGAAGGTCAGTGGGTTCAACGTGGAGAAGAATTTGGTTATTTCGCGTTCGGTGGGTCAACAATTGTGTTATTGTTTGAACCAGGCGTATTAGAGTGGGATGAAGACCTATTGATAAATGGTCGGGCAGCTTTAGAGACTTTGGTCAGAGTGGGGATGGGACTGGGGACCGGATTGAGGAAGAGCAATCAGAGTTGAAGAAGATTACTAACGGTGACTTTTAACCAACACATTACCTCTGTACTTTTAGCATAAATAGTTGTATTCGGATTGGAAACAGGGTAATACTCCAACAAGGTGCAAAATAAAGAAGTATGCTCCCTGCAAGGCTCGAACTTGCGACCTCGAGATTGAACAGGGCAACACCGCTCAGCTATGAGACTCGCGCTCTACCGACTGAGCTAAGGAAGCAGTGAGCTTTGATGACTAAGAAAGTGAGCCTGTTCGAGTATTAATCCTCGAGGCGTCTTTCCCGACATTCCTTTCCCGGCGGGAATGCATACCACCTCTTCCCCAATCCTATTGGAGGCGTATACTATCCCGTCAATCACTTTAAATCCCGTGTGATCGTCGGGGTGCTCTATGATCTTCTGGAGCATTGCGTCACGTTTGGACAATACGTGAATTTCCGATTCAAATTGCGATTGTACTAACTGACTAGGTCTAGGTGCTTCACCCCTCAGTCGAGATTCGAGTACCGTTGGGTTGGGCTCCCCTTCGCCATCCCTGGGTTCCTCACGGGAAATTTCTGCATTATTGTTGAGTTGCAGTGCCTTGACATCCCGGGATTCCTCGGTTTCTCATAATGCAGCTAAACGGTTGCTGTTAATTTCGTCCACTCTCTGGGTCGGGAGATCATCCATTTCCCGATCCAGTTGTACATCTGCATTGATGTACTCATGGGCCTGGTGAACCTCGCTGGGGAGATCTGACTCATAGTATCGCGACAGTGCGTCTGCAATTTTATTAGTAGATCCTTTGATAGCATCTGGAAAATCCCCCCTAGCCAGGGCAAACCTAAGGAAATTTAGAAGATTTCTTGACACTCTCAGACAACTCAGAGTCCCTCAGCTCTTCTGAGTACCCTGGTATACAGCAATTTTCTTGAGCACCTTTAACTCTCTGAGAAAAATTTCCACTGCTCTTGGATGCTCACAGACTCTCTGAGGCTGCACTTCTCAAGGATCACCAATTCCACAAAATATCATTATGTAATGCTATACTACTGCCACCTAGTGGTACAGTATACCCTCTGTTTTGTTTGCTATATTCTTTAAACTCCTAGTGAGCAATTAGTAGTAGTACTATACTAACTAGTAGTAATAACTTTACTACAATGACTCGGACATAGTGCCACTGTACAGTGTAATTTCAGTAGTAGTGCAATGTAATACTATATGGTACTTGCATTTATTATACCGGAGTATACTAATGTCTCGGTGCATTGCAACGCCGTTGCTCTAATAATGGTTGAAGTCCATCATTGAATTGGCATTCAATGACTCAATTGTGTGACTTTCACGTGTGTAACATATCACATTACTTCGGGATGACTTGAACATTTCATTGATTCCGGATGACTTGGACGTTTCATTGGTTGTACCGACTCTCTCTTGTCTCAAGCTGCTACACCGATGGGTAAGCTCTCTCACATTCTTCTATTTTCTCCTATCCTTCAAGTTCTTCCAATGATCAACAGGCCCTCAAGGAGGGTCCGACTCTGGAGCCAATCCGAGCCTGTTGATCATCTGTCTTCTCGCGCCCTTACCTTCTGGTCCTCCCTTGTTTAAGCTTTATGCTCTTTCTCTTCTGTCTTCTGTCTGAACCCTGATCTTTTGCCTTTAGTCACACGTTCCGGAGCCATCTTCAACCCGTGGGACGAGACCAAAGCCCACCTTGTTGGCTCTGTCTCCACCCGCCAACCTTTCCGTGTACAGGAGCAGCTTGCCGAAGTCCTAGGCTCATGCAAAGGCGACGAGGAGGCTGAGGTTAGCGAAGACGAAGCGCCCAGCCCAGATGGATGGTCCGAAGATGTGTGTATCCCAACAAAGCCGGCGCCGAAGTCTTCCTTCCATGAACAAGTTTTGCACCTCCTTCCTCCTGCACTCGACTGCAAAAGCGTTCCTCCTGGCTCCAGCGGAGGTCCCATCCGAACAGAGAAGAGCCTCAAGAATCAACATATCGATGCTCAGAACCGCGAGAGGCGTCGGGCTAAAAGAGCCGCTGCTCTCAAAAGCTCTGAAACTCCCGTTCTCTCCAAAGCTGCCTCTCGCCGCTGCACGGGGAGCGCGCTCATGACGAACATGGCCTTGGAACTGGATTGACGAAGATTTCCTGGACACTAGGGAGACATCAGGCTCACGGTACGCAGGTGAAGCGGCGATCTGACCTTTACACCTCCTCCAAAACTTATTCCAAAAGCTACGGCAGGACAGTCGGGGGCTCGGCGGTTAGCTTTTTGTTTATTGGTGAAGGTTAAGATGGAGCAAGGCTAGACGTATGTCAGAAACGGCCTGAGCATGGACTGAATCCCAAGCAGTGTCCCGGGGCTGTCCTCCTAGAACGGCTGTAATAATACCGTCGGAATCAAGAACAGCTACAGAGCCCTCACTGAAGAGAAAGTTCTTGAGCATGGCTAGGAGGAAGGGGAATGGGAAAAGCTTACTTGGGATCCCATTCCACAATCTCGATTCCCTGATCCCGCAGAGCAGAGAGGGGAGTGTGTTGAGCCTCAAGCTCGACCTTCTTCCCAGCGTATCCTCCCTGGCCCACCCTAGCTTCACCTTGAAGAGAATAGTCAGCGAGAATGGTGTTGGAGCTTGGAACCTTAGCTTTCCTCCGGATTGCGGGATTTGCAAACTGTGAGCTTTCGCTCTTCCTCAATGCTGTGTTTGTCCACCGGTCCCTTCTCTAGCCCTGTTCATGGCCTATGCATTCCGTACCTACCAGTATAGCCTTTGCAACCTCGATCGTATCTGCTCCTGGAATCCCCTCCCCACTCGTGTTTTCAGAAAGACGGCATGGGCGGCCTGCTCTATCAACTTCGGCCCTCGAACGGCTACCTACCCCCACATTGACCACGCCAATCTTTGCTTTGGGTGGTGTGCGATCACTGCCTTGGGCAGTTTTAACCCGGATCTCGGAGGCCATTTGGTTCTTTGGGACCTTGGGTTGGCCATCCGGTTTCCTCCCGGCGCTACCATCCTCATACCGTCTGCTCTTCTTACGCATTCCAACGTTCCCGTATGCCAAGGAGAGGAAAGGTACTCTTTTGTACAATACTCCTCTGCTGGTCTCTTTCAATGGGTAGAAAACAGTTCCATGAGCGATCTTGACTTCGGCTCCCAAGCAAGTGTTGCAGAAAAGAAGCAGTGTGAATACGAATGTAAGCAGCGCTGGGAGACTGGTTTAGAGATGTTTACGCGGTGGCCTGAAGTTCAGGAGGAGGCTAAAAGGGTTGCGGAAGCTTAGCATGTTAGCATATTCGTATTCCTCCATAAATAACTTATTTCTTGCCCATATTATCGATATAAATGTCATTTTCTTGCTCAAAGAATCACAATTTATCCACGTTTTGTGAACCTGATGATATTTCATAGCCTGGAGAATCACAGCTTGTGAAACAGCTCATGTCACCTCCTTGATTCTGAGAGGAGTTTCCAGGCTCTAATTCACTACTCTAGTGTCAGTTGCTTAAACGTTTATCTAATGAACAACAATGATTGAAGATCCCGGCAGTTTTCTGGAGTTTCTCACCATATTCTTCTTCTTCATCCATCCATGTCATCCATATCGACTGCTGGGTACGTGTTCAATAACCACCGCCTGGCTACCAAACGCTCACTACTACTACACAGCGTACCTTGACGAGCTCGGTTTAAGTCGCCTGAGCTTCACCAGTGCGAGCTGGTCGAATGTGCGCCGTTTGACCCCGCCTGCAGCTGCAATCTTCAATACTTCATCCAACTTTCGGTGCTGGTGAACAGCTGCCGACTCTACCTTCCCTTCCTCTCTCTTCCCGGTCTCTTTGTCACCGCCAACCTCTTCGACTTTGAAATCGCTCTCGATCGACATTTTCAAGTCGGTCTCTCTGTGCCATCGGGCAAACGCCTCTACGCCGAGTTCAACGCTCAAATCAAGAGGCTCCAGGATCTCTGTCGTATCTTATGCAACGGTAGTACCATCAGATCCAAGTTCATTCCCTGTACTCGACGCCATAGACCTCTGCAGTCCGACGCACAAGCTCTGGTTGTTTTCAACAACCTCAGCCTTCTTCTGGACAGCATACGTGGCAAAATTGTCTCATTGGAATCAGATTGGCGGGCATCTCTGGATCGTTATCCCGGAAATACGGAAGAGATGTTGAGGGCTTTAATGACTGAGGTGAGTTTCTTTGCTTTGATTGATTTTCAATAGCTGACGGGGCAGTAGGCGCATAGTTGCTCCGATGAGCGCTGGAATAAACTTCCGTATATGTCCTTAATTCACCTCCGTACTCTGGGCATGGGCGCATGGGTTGACGATGAGATTGTAAACTACTTCATTCAGAAATGGTGCAGACAGGCTGGGAACACGCTTGGGCTCAGTACGTTCTTTGCCTGCAAGTTTCTCTTTCAGGAAGCTTGATGTATCAATGCCAAAACTGGGGTTCTGACCTCAGCTGATGAATCTCGGGTTGCAAAGTCATGTCGCAGGATGGTGGTGAGAGCGCTCTTACCCTCCCCTCATAATCTACACTAACTACTGCCTCAGAAGGATCTCCAACTCAAATCCTGGGACTCAGTGTTTATACCCATCAACAAAGATTCTACGCACTGGTACTCCGTGTACATAGATTTTCATCACAAACAAATTGAAGTCATGGACAGCCTCAAAGAACGATGTGTTCTCAATTGCCAGAAGCCAGCTCCGCTTTGAAAAAACACTCACCTTATGCTGGTACGGAATTTCATTTGCTATGAACAGCGTCTTGCTAAGCTCTTGCCAGGTCCTGATGTGGTTGACTGAGGTATTGAGCCGGGTGAGAGGAGATCCCGTTACTTTCAGCCCAAACTCTCAAACAGAATGGTCTTTCGATCCTCACAGCAAGGTACGCATTGTGGCCGGAACATCTCAATTTTATGCTCATATACCGCAGGTCCACTTCCAACTGAACTTGTACGATTGTGGTGTACATACTCTTTGGCATCTTCGCCATGCCCTTGAATTTCGCTGCATCCAACTGGGGCCGGACTCTGATTCACTTTGTTTCACGGATAACATGGTTGGGAAATGGATGGCTCAGGAAATACTCCGGGACTGTGATTGATAGCTATGCCACGTACTGTTACGATGTATACTTCGATTTTATTGCACCTTTTTGTTAAGATCATGCGACAACCACGGAAACTCCCGCGATAGGATCGCGGAGA